GATAGTTTGATTGACAGTAGTGTTTCAGCACAGACTGGACTGGTGTCTTACCTTAGCTCCGCCCTGAGTGAGCTGTCATCAGTCTGCCATTGTTTCACCGCCGGAGCAGATGTAGACAAGAATGACTCCTAACAAGCGATTGAGGTGTTCTGTTGTTGGAAGTAATAATGAACATAGCAGTCGTCGTTTACTCCCAACATTTGAGCTGCTGAAGACGCAGTGGATTACCTTTGTTTTTGAAGGGTATGCGCCCCCGATCTACATAAATGCGTCTATCTTCGCGCGAATCATTCGTGGTCGAGCTTCACCTACAGAAAAAGTGAGTGTAAGGTTGTTTAATGAATCTTTGCAAATCGCCTTTCCTAATAATGTGCTAATTAGCAAGTTTCATGATGAATGCGGCTAAAGTAAACAGTATCTCTGAGAGCGGCTCGGAAGAGAGGGGCGGGGTCAGCAGAGCTCATTAACATTTAAAGGAAAATGCTGCAAAACGGCTTGCTCTGAAAAGAGCTGTTTTTGACAGGGTAAAAAAGGTGTTTTTTTACACTACCATTGAGAAATTTCTAATTTTCTAATAAATTTCTATTAAAGAATTCATTGAGTTTTCCACTCGCTACAGTAAATATGTTAATCTGACAATCTTTATCTTATTAAATTTATTTAACACTATATTTGTGAGGTTCATCATGTATCTGCAGGGGTTTTCATGGACCATTGAGTGAAGTTTCTAAAACATTTTTTTAAATGTGAGCTAAAGCTCTGATCCAAAGAAAGACCCGAAACAAAAATGACAATAAAGAACACAAAGACATAAAGTTACAATTGTATTTGTTATTTATTGAGTACATTTTAATAGAATCACCACTGAATGATAAATCACACATATAGTCTTGTATGAGATGCACGAAGCAGAGCAGATGCAGCTGAGAGCGACTGAAGCTGGTTGTGGAGAATGAAGGATTCGCTCATGTGCTGTTAGTCTCCAGTGAGACATGAGTGAGAAGAGCAGCAGATCTACTCTGAACACTGCTGTCTCGTCACGTGTGCAGTGAGCGCAGGCTGGCCGCTCCGTGTGGCCTCACAGCTCACTGAGACGCTCTCCATCCACTCCTGCTCAGAGAGAGTCAGGCTGCTGCTCCAGCTGTACAGACCGTCCTTCTCCAGGAGCCCAGCGCTGCTCTCCTGAGACCTGCTGCTCCCGTCCACCTTCCAGCTCAGGCTCCAGTCTGACGGGAAGCCCTTGCTGGCCACACACACCAGTGTCGCTGTCTTCTTTGAGGAGATCTCTGCACTGGAGGGCGGCAGGACGCTCACTTTAGGACGAGTGAAGCCTGAGAGAAGCACAGAGAAAGCATTACTTCAAGCATTAAAGAGAAAACTAGGAGAAATTCAGCAAGACATTGATAAACAACATCCAGATTCAGAAAAAGTTATTCCATTAACACATTAATGCTCACAAATTCCTACACATGAAAAATGTTTACAATCTGGTTCACATTCTGGTAAATATGCTGATTAATTACAAATACAATACAATAAGGAAGTATCAAGGAGTTTTTAGGCACAAAAACTCATGCATCACTTCAGTCTATACAGAAACTTAAAGAGTGTGTGTATATTTAACATGTTTAAAACTCAGCATTCC